AATCTAGTATGTGTTCAATGACGTGATTTAAAATACTCAATTTTGCTATGTTTTAACAAATTTTCTTCTCTTTAGGAGCATCTTCCAGAGCTTTTTGTACATTTTCAATCTCAGAGTTTTCATACTTCAATGTATGCATCATCCTGGTTTCTGACTATCTTTCTTACAACTTTTCCACTACCAATTGCAACAAGGATATTTGATATCTTTATGTCTGAGGTAAGCTAGCAGTGTCCCCAACCTTTTTGGCACCAGGGATCAGTTTCATGGAAGACAATTTTTCCATGGATGGTGCAGGGTGGGGGTTGGGTAGGTGGAGGAGCTCAGGTGGTGATGCAAGTGATGGGGAGCAGAGTGGCTGTAAATATAGATGAAGCTTTGCTTACTTGCCTGCCATTCACCACCTGATGTGTGGTCCCCTGGTTCCTAAGTTTTTCATGGACCAGTGAGGTGGGAGGGGGAGCTTAGGGCTCTATTCCTAACAGGCCGCAGCCCAGGGGTTGGGGACTTCAGAGCTAATGGACAGACTAAGAGCAAGAAGCAGGCAAAGGAATCATTGAGTTTATTAGAGCAGGGCAATGTGGAGAGCAGTATGGCAGACCCATGTGTCCTGTGCTAAATTGCTTACATGTATCATTTCATTTAAACCTTATAGTAACCATATCAGGTAGATACTGTTATTATCCCCATTTGTTAGATGATAGATGAGGAAGCTGAGAGTTAGAGAAAGGTTAGTAGCTTATCTGTGGATACGCAGCACACAAGTGGTGTAGTAACTAGGATTGAAGTGTAGACATTCAAATTCTGGAGCCCACACTCTTAATCATACCTCTTTATCAGACCAGGTGTTGTGGCTCACACCTGTAATCCCAGCACTTTGGGAGGCCAAGGTGGGAGGCTGAGGTGGGAGGATTGCTTGAGGCCAGGAGTTTGAGACCAGGCTGGGCAACATAGTGAGACCCCATCTCTTAAAAAAAAAAAAAAAAGAAAGCATTAACTGGGCATGGGCATGGTGGTGCACACCTTATGTCCCAGCTATTTGGGTGGCTGAGGCATGAGGCTCGAGAGCAGTGAGCTGCGATCACACCACTGTCTTCCAGCCTGGGCAGCAGAGTGAGACTGTGTTTCTTAAAAAAAAAAGAAAAACCTCTTCATCAGTTAGTGAGAGGTAAAATTTGCCTTACAGTTAACATTGTAGCAATGCATCTGTTATCCAAAGAGTAAGAAGCAATAATTAGTATAATTAAGTTAATGATGTTTCTTCTATTCTGTGAACACATTGCAGATTGTTGTCCTTTTGATTGTCAGTGACATGCAGTAGTGATCCTTCTATTCTCTGAACCCAGTGTTAATTGTTACTACAATTACATCTTGGAAAGATGAATTTGTATTACTTATCTAAATTAGTTTAGATAAGAGTTGGCAAACTGTGATTCATGTACCAATCTGTCCTGGTTTGCCTGCCAAATCTGTCCTTCCACCTGTTTTTATAAATAAAGTTTTCTTGGAACACACCCCTTCCCATTTGTTTCTATGTTGTCTAGGTCTGCTTTGGGGCTACAATGGCAGAGTTAAGTAATTATGACAGAGACCATAATGGCCCACCAGGCCTAAATACTGCTATTTGGTTCTACAGAAAATGTTTGCCAGCTCCTAGTTTAGATCCCTAAATGTTTACCTTAGTATTATTTTGAATGATTAGTTTTTGTTGATGGAAGAGTAAGACAAATTTGGCCTTATCTACTTTGTTTTCTCAGGGTTTAGAAATAGTGTTTCGAGTAGGATTAGCGCTTCTTCAAATGAATCAGGCAGAACTAATGCAACTTGACATGGAAGGGATGTTACAGGTAAGTCAGTTTATCATTGCTTGAATGTCTTTAGATTTCGCTAATAATTAGTTAATAATGAACAGCACTAAGTAGTTCTTATGTTTTTCTTTTATTGTTTTCTTAGCACTTTCAGAAGGTCATTCCACATCAGTTTGATGGAGGTCCAGACAAATTAATCCAAGCAGCTTACCAAGTCAAATACAACTCAAAAAAAATGAAAAAGTAAGTATTTTATAGTTTTATTTTTAGTTATAGGGGTTTCTTGTAGTACACAGGAAAATTCCACGGGGAAGTGACAAACATTCTAATGATCAGTACATTTTTCCTCGTTACTTTATAGAACTGTATTATTTTATTTGGTGGTATTGGTTTCAATATAACATAAAGCTAATGTTGGAATATATTACTTTTAATAGCAGTGCATGGGACTAGTGTTTACTACCTTTAAAACCCCCGTTTCCCTTTCCACATTGCCTGGTATAGGTATATATGTGAGTGTGCTATTATTTTAAAAATCACTTTTATGGTGTGGCCACATTCATTGACATTATTTTCCTCTTAGTTTGACCCTAGAGTATCACTTAAGTTCAAGATTAGCATAACCAGCAAAATAGACCTGAGGTATGCATTAAGAGCTTAAAATTTTATTTATTGTGTATTACTTTCTAATGAAGCTTTTCTTTGTATGTATGTTATAAAAGTTCAGGATAAGCAGTCTTGGGTCACTGGTTTTAATTTTGAAATTGAATAAGTGTATTAATTAAAATATAGCTATTATTCTTCTAGCTTTGAGTACTTAAATAGTTCTTGGTCTGAGCTCATAGCATTTCTGGCACTAGTTTCTATGGCATAAAATGCTTAAAAATGATAACAATGTTATATGCTATAAGTTACCAAGATCTTTTCTGCTGCAACACGAAATTACATTAATATATGTAACATACTACTCCCATGGATGTTCGTACTCCAGAAAGTACATTTAAATATGAGTGAGAATTATGAAAATTAGTTAGCTTTAATTGGCAAAAACAAGCCAATTTATGAGCTTCAACTTTTATTATTACTGAAATACTTGGTGACATTTCTAATAACTATCATCATGTTGAGGCACTATAGACCAAAAAGCTGCTCTGCTTTGTAACTGATAAAAACTTAAAGAGTCATCTCAATATTTGCCACTTGGTAGAGCCACATTTAAATCACACTAGCCAAACAGAGAATTTGTTTTACTTTAAAAGTCTGTTAGAGAATCTGGGGTAATGGATTATCCTTTTAGATCTTATCACGTATTCAGTTCATTTCTGAAATTTCAATTATTTGCTTATCAAACTTCTGACCCTCTAGTTCTTTTACTCTCTTACTCCTATCCCTGCCTTATCAGAATCCCTTGTCTGATCTCTAAAAGCCTTCCTCTGGTCCAAATATATTTCCTCTCCTCTTTTGTGTCCTACATCCATGTAGTTAAGTGTTACTGTATAGTTAGTGAGATTGATGACAGTAAGTTATGTTTCCAGTGCCCTTCCATGTATGTTTATATTGGCTTTGATTAATTCTCCCATTCCCCATATTGGTTATTTCAGACCTTGCCATTCTTCCTAAGCTCCTGTCCCCTTTTTGCCATACCTAACTCTCAGCAGATTACCTTACTCTTAATTCATCATTTTCTTTTCTTTTCTTTTCTTTTTTTTTTTTTGAGACAGAGTCTCGCTCTGTTTCCTGGGCTAGAGTGAGTGCCGTGGCATCAGCCTAGCTCACAGCAACTTCAAACTCCTGGACTCAAGCGATCCTCCTGCCTCAGCCTCCCAAGGAGCTGGGACTACAGACATGTGCCACCATGCCCGGCTAATTTTTTCTATATATTTTTAGTTGTCCAGCTAATTTCTTTCTATTTTTTT